AATACTAAAACAATTTCTATAGTGTTGCTTCTTCTTTAGGGTTCATCGATCACTTCGATATCCACACTCTCCCACCCCTTTTCTCCTGTCCCGATAATGATCCCTTTGCCCTGACTTAGATCTTCCCATCCAAGTTTACAAAGGCCCTCTGGTCCCTCTTCAGCAAATGCCACGTATAGCTCTTACCATGCTTTCGAAGTTTTATCTTCCAGTACCGTTGAGGGACCCCTATACTATGAGTGCGTCCCGAATATGAGAGGTAGCTCGGAGCTATGATATCCCAAGGCGTGGGGTTTTGGTAAGGGACTGTAGTGCCACCAACTAGGAACGCGCCACCAGTAATCCATACAATGATTAGTAGCTTACTCCTTGCAGGATCTTCCGCAGCTTTCGCAGGTACCCATATACTTAACGACAGACAGTCCTCTGACATAGCATCATTGATCCGAAACTTTAAGACATCTGAGTTGTATATTGACAGCGGCCCATCGAACTACTGCGGACATGAGGGGCCGAACTCAGTTGCGTCGAAGTGATCGACTAGGTTCTTCGGTATAGGGGCAGCCATTGATTTGAGCCTGTAAAGGCTTCGGCGAAAGGAGTGCCTAGGAACTAGGCAACATTGGGGCAGTCTTTGCTCATGAAACCGCGTATTGAACCGAAAGTAGACTTCATAGTTAAGTGATCAGCATTTAAGGGGCCTTTTTTTAAGATATACCATTTGGAAGGCTCATATCCTTTTTGATCAATGATAACAATCATTCAGAGAAAGCATAACACAAAGAGCCGTCTTGATCCATATCGATATTATATTATAGATATCAAATCATCTCGTCAGATAGATCATCAGTTATTAGTAGATCTATATATTTACGGATGTAGGGTGTAAATAGTAGCATTGTAACTAGACCGTTAAGCTAGTGAACTTGGCATAGAACCTTTATAATGGCTGAATGGCAATTCACATCATCATAACCCTTAACTTTAGGTAAAATGAGACGGTCTTTTATATGGTAAATTTCCATCAGATTCATTTATGCCACAATATGAAATATAGTTGACAATTAATTCCCTGGATATATGTCTACGGCTTTCCATAGTTAATAACCATTGCATACCTAGATATTTAGAGTATACCCCTGATTTCTTCCTAGGCCGATATCGCTCCGACTTAGCTTAGCTCTCGGACTTGGTCTCCATGTAAACACATAGTGGTCTTTAAATTTCTAACCTATACGCGAGATAAATATTTATTGAAATATGGGATCTTGTGTGGGTTTTAAGTGACTTTGTCATCTGTATATAGACAATAGAATACTTTCGAAAACCTTCATAATCTTCACTTTAAAAAAAGTCAAATTTTAACTTTAAATCTTTATTTCTTTTCTTTTTTGGGGGGGGGGGGGGGGGGGTTTTTAAAAATAATAAAAAAAAAATTAATAAAAAAAAAAAAAAAAATAAAAAAGGATGGAAAGTTTGTATATTTTTAAAATATTTTTTAT